TTGATTTGACCAATTTTGTTGCTAAAATAACTTGTAACGCTTTATTACATAAATTAACCTCAGCAGAAAGAGTTGAAATTATCGAAATATTTTTCGGAAATAATCAGTGCGCTAATAGAACAGCAGAAATATTCAATGAGCGACATGAGAACAGTAATGTGCATCGAAAATATGTTCTAGAACTTGTAGCTAAATTTCGGGAAACTGGGTCAGTCGCCAATAAAAAACGCAACATTGAAAATCCCATAAGGAACGAAGCAATAGAAGTGGGGGTTTTAGGGCAAGTTTATGTAGATCCTACGTTAAGTCCCCGCAAACTGGAGACTGTGTGGTGTTAGTCGACGTACTGTCCAACGGATTCTAAAGGCCCATAGTTTTCATCCGTATAAAATTTACCTGGTAACAAGAACTTAATGAAGACGAGTTTGATCGGCGATTACAATTTTGTGAAGATATGAGTGAACGAATTATAAACGATGGTTATTTTCTATTCAACACTTGCTTTTCCGACAAATTTTCCTTTTTCTTAAATGGCGTAGTAAATCGTCATAACTGCCGATATTGGTCCGATTCTAATCCCAGAATTTATCATGAGATTCATACACAGCAACAAAAATTAAATGTTTGGGCTGGTATTTTTAGCGATCATTTAGTTGGTCCTCTTTTTTACCTGGAAATTTGACCGGTGAAATGTATTTGGAATTACTGGAAGACGCCATAGATCCTGCATTAACAGCCATAATTGAAAATCAGAATGATCGGCGGTACATTGCGAATAGGTTGATGTTCCAACAGGATGGTGCCCCACCACATTACGCATTACGTGTTCGATAATATTTAGATCAGACGTTTCCAGATCGATGGATTGGTAGAAGAGGTGCCATTTGATGGCCCCCAAGATCGCCAGATTTATCACCACTTTATGTGGGGTCATTTAAGAAGCAAATCTATGCTACTCAGTCAACATCATTAGAAGACCTGCGACAAAGAATTACTCCTCAAATATTGCAAAATGTGCGGCAATGTTTGGAGCAAAATCTTTATTATTGCCATTTTCAACATTTACTTGCCTAACGGGTCAGTTCATTCTTCATTTTTAAATTACTTTGCTGCCAAATGTATTGATCTCCACTAATGATGATGTATTACATTTATTTAAGCTTTAAATCAATAATCTTCAAAACTACTGAACTGAAGTACATTAATTTTATATCATTATAAAGGGAATTGAAAGGAGTTTAAAATAAGGTATCACTCGACCCCCCTTTCCATTTAAGATTTTGGGGGTGGTGTCACCCCCGCTTAGCGGGCTGCACGTGCTAACGTAATTTTTGCCAAACTTGTGTCCCACTCGAGAACAAAATCGACGGGTCTGAGCGTTTTTAAAAAAAAACTGAGCTGCCAGTAAATGCGTCTGTTTCGTTTTCGATGCGCCACCCTGTATGTTTTTTATTCTAATCGGGGTAGCGTCACAGGGATTCTAGGGAGGTAATACATCTGCATGTGAAATACGCACATTCTAGTCGCACCTTAGAGATCCACCGGGTAGTACCTCCACGCTCCTCCAAGTTACCAGAATTCTCGTTCTTGGAGGTACTCGATTTTTCGATTGGATGGCAGTAATGAGTTCTGCAACTTCCAACTCCAGGATATGCCACTGACTACCGGGATATCACAATGGCGTTAATACCACCGCCGACGTCGCTTTGCGTTGAAGTCTGCAGGCGCTGTTTTCGATGATAAATTATTATTGAAATGGGACGATTGTTTGGGTGTTCCGGACCAGAAAACCACGGCTGCCCGGATTATTTTCTCGCAGCAGACGCTTCTATGGCCCGCGGCGATTTTGCTTACCGCAGATTTGCGCATTGTCTGGAATAGGTGTCGTTATACGAAAGCAAAACAATAATGTAATGGTTAGCACTGGCCAAGCTAGATAATTATTTGTATAGCAGTTACTGTGATGAACGGAATAGGCATTTTATATATTTTTGGCAGCAGCGGTGGCCGCAGTAGTAGAGTCTCGGTCTCCTGATCAGTCGCCGTGCGCTGTGCGGGTTCGAAACTCGTCCCAGGAGAAATTTTTCTCTTGGCTATGGATGTTGTGATTGTCCGTAGGTGGTAGACGGTCTCTGACTGTCGAACGTGGAGGTACCACCCGGCGGATCTCGTAGGCGGGCAGAATGTGTGCATGTTGCATTCACACGTGTTCCCTCGCCAGAGTCCGTGTGGCATTCCCCCTTTACCCTGTATCCCCCTATAGCCCCACGGTACCCCATGGGTGTTTAGGCCTTAGGCCTTCGTGGTAATTGGAGAATAAAAAACCAGCATATTTTTTTAAAATATGATAGAAGTCTGAATTTGAGATTACAGATAAGCTTTTTATTTGAGTTCTGCGGGTTTGTGGTCACTTGTCGTTTTGTTAATATGGTTCCAGACCGATTGATTTCTTGACGGGTTTGAGTAATCATTTTGTTTTTATATCGAAGCAGCCGCGCAGGCAGAGGCCTAAGTGCCGGAACACCGCGGCTGCTATGATGATCCCAAAGAAATTTTGTGTCGGAGCCAAGACCGATCCCTGGGGAACACCCGCGTTGACGTTTTGGGATGAAGAGGAGAACCGGTCAATTACGACAGATATCTTGCGGCCAGAGATAAAGTCAGCCACCCATCTGCAAAGCCTTTCTGGGAGGCCATAGGATGGAGGTTGCTTAAGAGGGCAGCGTGCCGCAGCTGATCGAACGCTTTCGTGATGTCAAGAGCAACGACTTGAGCCTCACGATAAGACTGGATGAGTTTACTCCACCATTGCGTGACGTCAGCTAGGAGGTCCCCCTGTGGATCGTTGGTGCCGGAAAGCATATTGCCTCTTGCTAATCAAGCCGTGACGTTCGAGGTAGTCCAGAAGCTCGCGATTTATGCACCTCTCCGTCACCTTACTTATAACAGACAGCAGAGCTATTCGCCTGTAGTTGTAAAGGTCGGTCTTTGATCCTTTTTTAACACATCTACTGTGGTTTTTTTGAAATACATTCGATATGCCTTCCTATTTTGAATGATATACGACTGAAGAACTACTCGTATGTATGTATCGCCTGCGAAAATATTTTTACAAAAGCTACTGCAGTAAGAGGAGGGGCGTTACCATCAACCAAAAACATACAATAATCATCAAACATCAAACAAACAACATCAAATTGCAAAAACAAATGTGAAGAAATGGAGAATGTAAATAGAATTTCTACAAAGATCATCAAAGCAGTACAGCATGAGATTGCAAAGGAAGATAACTGCATAGAAAGCTTGAAAAAACGAGCAGACGTCATTGAGAGTGAGAAAGATTATAAAGACGAAATCGAGGATTTTAAAAATAAAATAAATGCGCTAGAGTTAATATTAATCAGGCAACCTTGCGCCTAAAGGAAAATAGTCTTTCAATGTCACTAGGGTTCAGCAGTCTTTGGGGTAAGGTTCACATCAAAATAGCAGAAAATAAGTTTTTTGCCATGATTGTCAGTAGTCATAAAAGCTTTTCTTTCTCCACCCTCCGTTATTTGCTATTGCTGTCAAAAATAACGTAACAAACGACTTAAAGTTTTGTTATTTTTGTTGCACTAAATGCTCTCTCATTTCCGTTCTCGGTAAGTAAATAAAACTAACCGTATTTTTTTGAGAAGTTTCACATTTAAAGTTTCTCCATACGAAATATTCAGTTCGCCCAGTGGCTATAAATCGACATAATGTCACTTTTTAATGTACGTAATACGGACAGGGCGGAATAATTTCGGCTGCAGTAACCGTTCTGGGATGCCAAGGTCCTAAAAAAGGATCCCATACCTATGGAATTATCAATGTCCTTAATAAATTCGAACATAAAAGTTTTTTCCTACAGTGTCACTGTATTCTTAGAAAGGAGTCCCAGTTCGGCCGTCGAATCATCACTATGGACCGCTTGATGCCGCTAATTCTGGCGATACAGTAGATAATGGTCTACTAATAACAATACTTTCGACCACCTCAACACCCATGTAAAGTCCTGTTTCATGCTTATTGACAATCATCAGCATGGTCTAAGCCATTGATTCCCAAAGTGGTCTATATCGACCCCTTGGGGGTCCATGAAATGAATATGGGGGTCCACGATAGTGGATCTCAACACATACACTGATAGTACCTATTTACTTACATCATACTATCTTTTATATCAAAACATATACATTATTTATAAAAGTGCCTATGAAGTAAAAAATTTATTGTATATTTTTATAAAATTGTGTAAGTTGTAGGATGTTGGTATTCGCTTTCTGGTCGCAATACATTTTGAACTTGTAAAAACCTGAGAGTCGCAGTCTCAGAGCTTCGCTACCTTGCACTGACTTGTTCAATTCGTCACTCTATAAATACGAATGTGGGACAAATACGTTTATTCGTTTCCTGAATCTTGAAAGGAAAGTGCTAAGAAATATTTTAAAAAATACAACAGATAGTATATCACACAAATTATAGTGAGTCAGTGTTATTTTGTTTGAGAGTGCTGGAGAAAAGTAAGTACATTATTTTTTATTAAATTTTAGTTTTGTACTCGTAGTTAGCAAAGATAGATAAATTACGCCAATCATGACTTTAGTTATTAGTAGCTAAATATTCAATCATGCAAAATTACACGAGTACTCCTCAATAGTTTCTTTCTGAAAGTTTTAGCAATAGGCAATATAATTACAGTGCAATCTCCGTAATTCGAGCTAATTGTTGCAAGAAGATGTTCGAATTATGGAATGTTTTCGGAAAAATCAAAAATATTTTTAATATACAGCTGCTGGATTTTCTGTCTTATTTAAATAATTTAATTTTGCCCACAGATGACTGATGCCATATCCGAATCTGAAAAGAAACGTAGACAGTACAGTGTTGATTATCTGAAATTTGGCTTCGTTCCATCATTGCCGGACAAACAATCGCCTATGTGCCTTTTATGCAACAAAGTTTTGGGCAATGACGCTATGAAACCATCTAAACTGCCAGATCATCTGAGAAGATGCCACCCTGATGAAACAGAGAAAGATTTGAAATACTTTCAAACACTCAAAGATAAATTTCAGAAGAGACCTACACTGGACAGAATGTTCGCTTCTACGTCACAAAGAAATGATGATGGTTTGCGGGCGTCTTACAATATCTCGTTACTTATAGCAAAATCCGGAAAGCCGCATACTATCGGAGAGAAGTTAATTCTGCCAGCCGTTGAAGAGGATTTAAAAACTGTTTTACACAAACCTGCATCTTCTGATATCATTAAAAGAATTCCCTTAAGCAACAATACTGTTGAAAGACGTATTGATGAAATGAGTTCTGATATTGAAAGCTTCTTATGTAATTATTTGCAAACGACCCATTTCTCTATACAACTGGACGAGTCAACTTTACCTGATAATGCAGCATTATTATTGGCATATGTTCGTTTTATTATGAATCAAGAAATCGACGAAAAACTGCTCTTCGCAAGAACTTTGATAACCGACACTAAAGGTGAATCAATATTTCATGTGTTGAAGGATTACTTCATTGAAAAAGCAATTCCTTTATCAAATATAATATCAGTAGCTACAGATGGAGCACCTGTCATCCATCGACAACATTTAGTTGCTAAAAATTTGAGTGTTAGATTGCATGAATTTAGTCATTGATGCAGTAAACCGAATCCGAAGCAACGCGTTGAATACGCGGTTATTTGCGCAGTTGTGATGACGAACACTTTCATCAATTACTCCTTCACACTGAAGTACGCTGGCTGTCGAAAGGCTTATGTTTGACAAGATTTTTTGCACTTTTTGAGACTATTTTAGAATTTCTGGATACTAAAGGTAAAATTTTAAAAGAAAATTTAATGAAGAGGAAAACAGACATCGCCTATTTAACAGATTTGTTTACAAAATTTAATATGGTTAATTTGAAATTACAAGGCGACAGTTTAAATTTGATTAAAACAAAGTCCATCTTATCAGCGTTTCTTGCCAGAGTTAAACTAATGAAGCAAAATATTGGACGGGGCGAATTTTCTCAGTTCCCCAATTTGTCACAGACAAGCTACCAGGAAGACAACGTTTCAACTTACGTTCAACATTTAAATGCCCTCTATTCAGATTTTGAATCTAGGTTTGAGGATATTTTGACTATGGTAATACCACCGTGAATAATTAATCCATATGATGACATAGAAGAAACGAATGTCATAATACAAGAGGAACTGACTGAACTAAGTACAAACGAGGAACTTAAGGTTCAGTTTAAAAACGGATATCAGCAATTCTGGCTGCAAAACAACATACCCGTTACTTATCCCGTATTATGGAATATAGCGAGGAAATTTTTAATTTCCTTTCCATCGTCATACCTAGTGGAAAGGGGATTCAGTGCTGTACCAATCTCCTAACGAAAAAAGAAACAGACTGGACATCACTAGCCGAGGAGATTTAAAATTAACCCTTACAAAATTGACGCTAAATGTTGATAATTTATTATTAAAGCATCAGGTTCATCCTTCTTCCTGAATATATTGACATATTGCTTATGTTATGTGCCCGCATTGATTTATTTAAAGAACCCCCCTTTATAGAATATATTTTTTTTAAATTATTCTGAAAATTCAAGGATAGGTACACACTAAATTCGTTAATTTTTTGCCTATTTTTAGATAACTTACACGTATAAGAAGCGGAATTAATCAAACTAACAGTGAAATTATTGTAGAACATACGTTTATGTTATAATTAATAAACGAACTCGCTTATTGTACTATTTTAAGTAAAAAACTTTTTTTTTAATATTTTTCACTTTTTTGTATTTTATCCCTCTTATTTTTTTCAATGCGGGCACTTATTCCCAATGCGGGTACTTATTGGTAAGACACCTGTTTATTTAATGTTACGTATATTTTACATAACAGATACAAAATTTTATTTTGAGTAGTTTTAATTTAAATTCAATTAATAAATGTATAAATTAACATGTGTTTTTACTTTAAGTTTTTAACACTAAACTTTACTACAGTTAGAAATTTACAGGAAATCAATATCAGGTAAGTAGGGGGTCTACCCAACACGGGAAAACATGGAAAGGGGTCTACGACAGAAAAAAGTTTGGGGAACTCTGGTCTAGACTCTAGGTAAATTTGATAGATGATACTTTGCAATGCTGTCGTTCATTGCCCTGCCTAGAGATCTAAGAGATCTAGACCGTAATGATGATTGCCAATAAGCCTGAAACGGCGCTTTGTACGGTTGATCGGATGGACGATGTAGTATTATTAGTTTTCAATGAAGAGTAGACCCTTATCGCCAGAATCAGCGGTACCAAGCGGTCCCAGTGATAACTAGGCAATCGCGGCAAACTGAGTTACCTTTACAATTTCAATAGACAGATACTTTTGACTTCCAAGGTGGTCGTTTCTGGTAATAGATGGACGTTTTGCTGTCATATTTCGATAAGTCTATAAACAAGCTAAAAAAACTGCCTCAGAAGAATCAACAATCGGAAATGCATATCGTGTAGCACACACCACGCATATAGGATTTTTTCGGCACATACGACGCGACGCGACCGTATGCTTTAATCAAATAGAAATAAACGCGGTAAAGATAAATTGGATGGCCAGTGTCAGTGGTTGAATTAGAAGAGCCAGACAACTAAGTAAATAAAGCCATAATGAAATAACCACCGATGTGATGATGTTAGCAGGATCGCCATGCCCGTGTGTTCTGGGCAATAGCATCGAGCATTGCCGTTTTTTTTCCTTCTGCTGCTAGTCTTGAAAATTAGATTGGACAGTTTAATATTGTCCGGATGTATTTAAAGCTCCTTATCGAGTCTAACCAATAATTTGAAACAGTGAAAATGCTGCTTTGTGTCTCCATACGGTATGGTCCGAATTCGACTATCACACCTCGGATCTTTTATAAGAAAGAAAACCTCAGCGCCAAACAACAAGAAATTGGAGTAAGGTTGCTCTTTTCGTGACCATACTGGATATCAACGTATTAAAACATTTTGGAATATATCCACCCACAACAGAAAATGCTTGCGCAAAGCGGACTGGTCTGAACCACGTGCACTTTCACCAAAAGTTCAAGTAGTCTTACAATAATTTCAAAAGTTGGTGAATGCTACTAGCACTTTAGCGGTCGAAGGTGAATCCTAGGCAGCTTTAGTTTTGAAGCTAACGGGTGTTTTTTTTAGAGGTATAGAACTTTAAATTGCAATAAAACTTTACATTTTAAATATGATTTCTAGCATTTGACTGCCACGGCTGGCTCGGATGTAGTCCAATCTGGACATCCAATTTTCGATGACTTTTTCCAACATTTGTGGCTTATCTGCATAGACCAATGACTTTACATAGCCCCACAGAAAATAGTCTAGCGGTGTTAAATCACAAGATCTTGGAGGCCAATTCACAGGTCCAAAACGTGAAATTAGGCGGTCACCAAACGTGTGTTTCAATAAATCGATTGTAGCACGAGAGGTGTGAGATGTTGCGTCGTCTTGTTGGAACCACAGCTCAGGGAGTTAGTAATCATGGCTCTGTACCGATCAACATTGACTGTAATGTTCTGGCCATCATCGTTTTTGAAGAATTACGGACCAATGATTCCACCAGCCCATGTTTTGTATGTGACGCATCATTCCTAATGTTTCTGTAACTTAGCTTAATTACACTCAACGCGGACGCGATGGTGATTTTCCGTAGTGCTCTTCAAAGTTTTTGAAAACGCAAAACAACGGATGAAATTCGTAATATATAGCTTTGAAAATAACCTCTATTTAGAAAGAAACAACAGCTAATAGATATACTTCATGGGCAGGAGATTCAGTAACAATTGTCTCACATAGCAAATATCACTGACTTGATACACATACAGTCCAATACACACAATCATCCATTTTCTTTCCGTCCCATCTTCTCAGAGATATACTCGACAGACTATCTCGGCATTCTGCAACCAACAAAGCATGCTGGGGAAGTGACTGTCAACATGGTCATTGAGCGTGTCATTGACTCATTCCTCCATAGACGACGCTATTGTGGATGCTCGCACAACTCACAGCGAGCAAATACGCAATTTGTACAGGAACTATCTAGTCAGCAAGCTGACACGTTGTCGTTTATTTTTTTGTAATCATTTTCTTACGTAATAACCCTGCCGTTCTTTGAGTTAATAGGGTACGTACGAGGGATGTCTTTTAAGTTTTGCATATAGAAACATAGTAGGCTGCGCGGATCGAACGTCAGTACTGAATCTTAACCTCACTCTTTAGTAAACTTAAATTCAAAGTTTCACAACAATACGTGCAGTGTTCTCACTACAGTGAAGTCTTAAGTGTCGCCAAGTCATTAGAAAAATGGAACTCAACCGAGAACATTTTCGCGCCATAATTTATTACAACTTTCAGAGACAATTATCGCAACAAGAATGCATTGCTGAGTTACTGTCTGTTTTCGGCAACGAACCGCCACATCAGTCGACAATTTCCCGTTGGTATGGAAAAATTCAAACGTGGACGGGTGAGTCTTAGCGACGATTCCAGGGTGGGTGCACCAAAAACAGCAGTCACCCAGGAAAACGTCGATGCTGTACAGCATTGTTAGTGGTGATGAATCGTGGATTACTGTTATGAACCAGAAAATATACAAGAGTCGGCTGTTTGGGTGTTCCAAGGTGACGAAAAGCCAACAAAAGTCATCCGTTCTCGAAGTGTTTCGAAAAAGATGGTCGCGACGTTTGTGTCAAAAGCGGGTCATATTATTATTATTATTATTATTATTATTATTATTATTATATAATTGAGATGAGCAGTACACAGTACTATACTCATGCAGTAAATAAGTGTACGGACACGTAACACAAATACATCAAATAGAAAAAATAAAAAAATACAGTTCATAGCTATAAAGTTTGTACACTCCTCCAGCTATCATACTGCACTTTGAAGCTATTAACTGAAGTAGCACCAACCACACTTTCAGGTAAACTATTCCAGGTGTTGAGTATGCGGTTGGGAAGAAACCAGTCGGACTGTTGTTTTAAATGGCTCCTTATGCAGTTTGAAGCTGTGTCCGCGTAGATTGCTGCGCGACATATGGTATAGATGCATGAGGTTGGTGCCCATCAAACCATGAAGTATCCTGAACGTAACTATAAGATCGCCACGAAGTCTTCGCTCAGAGAATGAGGTCAGGTTGAATAATTCAAGGCGATCTTCATAGCTTGGTCTTCGTGCTCCAAAAGGGATACGAGTAGCCCGACGCTGTACTGATTCGACGAGATTTCTATCGCGCAGAAGCACAGTGTCCCATACCGGGCCAGCGAATTCAAGAATTGGCCTCACGAATGCCTTGTAAATGTAGGCGCAAGTGTTGACATCGGATCCTTTGAAAGACCTCTCCAGCATATATAGAAGTTTCTTGGCTTTTGATGTAACGTGGTGAATATGCTCTGACCAGGAAAGACGATCGTTGACTACAACGCCCAGATCAGTGTGGCTCGAAACTGCTTCGATGTTGTGGTCAGAGATCTTGTATGTAAATCGCGGATTTGTCTTCCCGAGGTGAAGGACACAACACTTAGTTAGATTTAAGGGTAAAAGCCAACTGACTGACCATTGACAAACAATATCAAGATCTCGTTGA